CGGCTGCTGGCCGCTCACGCTGGCTGCTGGCTACACACAGCCCATGGCAACCCACTGCCACAGGGGCTGCAGCCTACGCCGGTCGCCGGCAACTCATGGCAGCCCACCTCCAGGTTGAGCTGTTGTTCAGCATCTTAGCTGTGGAGGGCAGTGTCACTGGCCCTCATATGTGGGATCTGAACCAGGGCTCTCTGGCGTCCCAACCCAGTTCTTAACCATCGCGCCACTCGGCCAGCCCAGCATTCTGGCTGTTTTTATGCAGCAGATTCAGTGGTTCTTGGAAAATATGTTGATAGGAAACAGAAACTGAAAACTGTACATGGCAGAGGCTAAAGGAATCCATTCTGTAAAGAGAAGTGTCTTAAAAAGATATCTTGATCTTCTTAAACCCATTTGTCCAACTTCTCAAACTCAGGGTAAATCTCATTATACAATTCATTTGTGTTTTAACGATGTAAGTGCAAACAGATGTACAAGTATATTTTGTTTTCAAGAAATGAATGTTTCTTCATCTAGTGCCTTCTGCTTCTGTTTAGCTGATGCAGATACCTGGCTTCCCAAATGTAAGCAAGGCATAATTCTTCCCTTGAAGCTGAGCAAGGACAAAAATTTGCCAACATTAATTTGAGGATTTTATCACCAGTAGTCTGGCCTCCCTGGAAATATTGGACAAAGTATTTCACTATTGCAGAAGGGCTGTCCTCGTTTTCAGGGTATTGGTTTGCCATGCTCTGGATGGAACAAAGTGGTGGGCTGGACCCAGGAAATCAGTAAAGAAGAACTGGAAGGAAAAACCTGAAATGCCAGAGGAGCTGCCCGGGCTGGTGAGTACAGCTGGTGTGCACTGGTTGAGGTAAGTTGTCACTTAAATAGTTAGTATTATTTTTGTAGCTCAAGACACTGAATGAGTAGATCTATATGCTTACCACCTTGAAGAATCAGTATTCAGATTACATTCACCCCCTTTCCATAGCACTGGGTGTTGAACTTGAACAGCAAAATTCTTATCTTTGTGTGTCTGCTTATAATTTCCTGTATACATATCAGAAAATTGCAAATGCTTATCAGCTATAAAATGCAGAAAGATGACTGTCTCATCAGCTGGAACTTTGCAAACTTCTTATGCCTGCTTTAAATTTAATGACTCCACTGAACTAAGCTAAGGTGACTACCAGTGAAAAAGGCCCTCTCTTAATGATTTTTCTGTTTTAATTTTTCAGTTACAGCTGACATTCAATATTATATTAGTTTCAGGTGTACAGTATAGTGATTAGACATTTATACAACTTACAAAGCAATTCCCCAGTAAGTCTTACACCCACCTGACACCATATACAGTTATTACAATATTATTGACTGTTTTCCTTAAGCTGTATTTTACATCCCCATGATATTAATTACTTTTTTTATCATGCTCCTTTGCACATGTAAAGATTTAAAGCCAAAGAAGAAAAATGTCCTTTAAACTAATTGCTGTGAAGATGTCATCTTGTGCTTTTGGTTTCTCATAAACAAGTACTGAAAAAAATTGGAAATTCTATTCTGTGTGATGAATACAAACTTACTTTTTAGATAAAGTTTGACCCTACTGAATATTAGTGAATTCTAGTTATCCATCTGTAAATTTTCTCTTTATTTAGGTAAGAGGTTGTAAAGAGAAGAATTTGGTAGTCTAAATATAAATTCTGTTTTACTCAGTGTATCTAGCATTTTGCTCTTATTACATACTGATTCCTTCTCAGTTTCCATATCCCTCCAGTAGTTTTTTGTTTTTAAAGATTGCATAGCTCTTTGGGTTTTTTGGAAACTAAAAAGATGGCCTTAAAAAAATTTTTTTTTAAAAACTTTAGGGCCGGCCGAGTGGCGCATTGGTTAAGAACTGGCTTGGGATGCCAGAGGGCCCCGGTTCAGATCCCACATATGAGGGCCAGTGACACTGCCCTCTACAGCTAAGATGCTGAACGACAGCTCAACCTGGAGCTGGGCTGCCGTGAGTCGCTGGCGACGGCGTAGGCTGCAGCCCTTGTAGCAGTAGGTTGCCATGGGCTACCGTGTGTAGCCAGCAGCCAGCATGAGCGGCCAGCAGCCACAGTGAGCGGCCGTCCAGAAGCTGGCGACTGATCTGCCTCTCCCGGGAAGAGCGCAATGATGGTGCCAACTTGGGCCAGTGAAGCAAAGTCCTCCACAACTAGACTGAAGAACAAAAGGATAGCAACTTGTCTGTTCCCCCTTCCCCCAATTCCCCAGCTCTGTTCCCGTCCCCCAAATTCCCCAATAAAAAAAAAAAACTTTATTGAGGAACAATATGTTTTTTCAGTGGGCAGAGTGTTTTTTCCAGGACCCATCAGCTCCAAGTAAAGTTTTTGTCCTTCAATCTTAGTTGTGGAGGGCGCAAGCTCAGCTCCAAGTCCAGTGGTTGTTTTCAATCTAGTTGCAGGGAAGGAGGGGAAAGGGGTGCAGCCCAGCATCCCATGCAGGAGTCAAACCGGCGACCTTGTTAAGAGCACGCGATCTAACGAAATGAGCCACCTGGCTGCCCAAGATGGCCTCTTTTAACTTAAGATAACTTCATGCTAATTTGACTTTGCTTTTACTTAATTTTAGCTTTCCTTACAAAGAAAAAGAAAACCATCAATTTTAAACTTGCAAACAAGCTCACATGGGGAAAAAAAATCCCTAGATTTTATGAGGCCATTCCTTTGTTTTATGTGCTATTTCTTAAACAGGCTCTATACATTTTTTAATAATTATGCATAGATATGATGCACCTGAAGAGTATTCTCTACCTTCCATAATTTTTTTCTTTGTTTCAATTTTGATAAAAGTCTACTTCCCACTTAATCTGAAGAATTTTAGCTTCTGAACTGACTGCAGTTTACTCATGCTAATAGGAACCTCATATAAAATGATACTAATGTCAAAAGATCTAAAATAGAAGATTCAACATAGAACATTTTAAAACAAATTATTAGTTTATCTTTAGCTAGAGTAAGTACTGTGTATATTTAGTCTCTGCTTTGATATGTCAAAGAATTAGAAATTATTTTAATTTATCCACGAAAATAATGACTACCAACATGTTTGGAAAGAGAAAATAAGCTTATACAAGTTCAACAAATCATTTTTGAAAGATACATAGAAAAAATGTTTAAAAACAGAAACCGTTCTGCTGCTAATTAATTATAGTGGTTGTTTTAATTTTTTCTTTTTTATTTACTGTTTTTAAACCATATCTCTTGTCTTACGAATTTTCCACTTAGATTCCGTGAATTGATTTTAAATGCTATTGCCTAATGTTCAGGGCTCAAGAACAAACGTTAATTTTCCGAATCAGTTAAAGACTTGGCAGGTCATTAGTATAAAAATTTTTATCTAAAATATATATAATATTAGGGTGACTCAAAAAAATCGAGAATACAGAAATAAACCCACATAAATATAGATAGATAATTTTTGATAAAGAAGCCAAAAACATACAATGGAGAAAAGACAGTCTCTTCAATAAATGGTGCTGGGAGAATTAGAAAGCCATGTGCAAAAGAATGAAACTAGACTGCTATCTATCACCATGTACCAAAATCATCTCAAAATGGATCAAAGACCTAAACATCAGACCTGAAACAATAAACTGCATAGAAGAAAACATAGGTACTAAACTTATGGACCTTGGGTTCAAAGAGCATTTCATGAATTTGACCTCAAAGGCAAGGAAAGTAAAAGCTAAAATAAATGAATAGGACTATATCAAACTAAAAAGCTGCTGCAGTGCAAAAGAAACCATCAACAAAAGAGGCAGCCAACCGAATGGAAGATTTTTGCAAACAACGCCTCCGATAAGGGGCTAATGTCCAAAATATATAAGGAACTCAACAACTAAACAACAAAAAAACAAGCAATCCAATTATGGGCGGAGGATTTGAATAGACATTTCTCCAAAAATTTGTAATTCTTATTTACAAATTGTTCACACTTACATATTTTTAAAATATGATATAATCTCCAATTATGTGTATAAGCAATTATGTTCCTGGAGCTTCAACAGAAATATGATGTTTAATTCAATATAGCATTTTTTTAATTGTGTGCATTACTTCCATGTTGATTTTATAAAGAAAATAAAAGCCTACACTATAACATTTCTATTCTTAAGAAAAATTGAAGAACAAAAAGGCTTTTGTGGTTGCTTATTACTTTGAAGTTTCTTATGTAAGATACTATGCCTAAAAAATATTTTTATTTAGCTTTTATCATCAGTCTGTGTTAAATACTGGAGTATAATGAGTGATAATCCATGGTGACTGTAAAAGCAAATATTCATTTATTTTAATGTGCAAGTTCATTGGCAATTCACCTGACTTTCTAAGGCTCTCAGTTATCAAAGATCATTAATTCACTGGATAAAGCATAGTCACCACCTAAGATGGTTTTTTGAGGGCAACTTAAGAGAACCATAGAGAAAAACCTATGGAAATATTTGCCACCATAACTTCAGCAAAGTAACGTTTAACCTAATTTTATTCATTGAATTCTTTCCCTATGTGTAGGCTCAAAATGAAGATTGGTTGTATTTCCTACTAAAATATCTCTACTGTGTTAAGGTGAGAATAGCCAAATAATTGCAGCCAATATACTTTAGGTCAGGTTCAAAAGGCATAAACACTCAATAGTTTTTAGTATCCAAAGCATACTCAAAAATTGCCCAGTCTGGAGTATTCTAACATAAATGTTCAAATACTGAACAATACACAATATTAAATTTCTTTTTGTCCAATTTGTATATATACGAACAAACTGATTTTGCACATGGCATCACCATAAATGCACTCAATGCAGTAAATCTTTTCTGAGTTCCTACTCATTCCTCTCACTTTTTTCCTTTGGGGTGCTCCCCTTCTGCAGCTATTGTTTTCCACACTGGAGCAGCTCATATGAGGGTCATGTGAAGGATGAAAAGAGAGGCAGACCGAGTAAACAGGAGTTTGAAATTAAGGAGGCAATTTATATCCTATGCAGATCATCACAAGTTTCTGTTGGAACTCTGGCAATGAAAATAACAAGGAAAGTAACCAATGTTTGCATATCGTTTTTCCAGCCCTGCAGGTTTACCTGTGAGTATTTAACAAAATCTTGCTTTGTAATTTTTACTGGATATGCAGCTGCCAGTTTCTTGAGGGCGGGGGCTATGTCTTATACTTCATAAACACACGCACACATAATAGAAATAAGCGTTCTTAAACTGACTGCCAAGTGGTTAGGAGCTTCAAGTAGGGGATTTGCTGGATTTGATGATGGGAGAGCTTTTAAGGCTGCAGAAGATTAATGACACCATTAGACGACTGCAGGGAAATGTGTAGTGAATGTGCAGAAAGAAGCGGGTGGAACAAAGTGGGGTGGATGGGAGAGGACACTTAGGACTCTCCCTTTAGAAGACTTACTAGGCCATAGCCCTTCACATCCTGCATATAGAAATCTTTCTTCTTTTTAATGGCTAAAAATGTTTTTCCATGGTATCTCTATATTATAGATACATAGATATATAGTTGGTATCTATATATAAACTATTTTTTACATCTGTCCTGTTACAAATATTTGGTAATATAAGCAATGCAAATTTATAGGCATAAAGTTGAACATGGGCCGGCTGAGTGGCGCATTGGTTAAGAGCTAGCTTGGGATGCCAGCTCTGAGGAGCAGGGCCACGGGTTTGGATCCCACATGGGGGCCAGTGACACTGCGCCCTCTACAGCTAAGATGGTGAACAACAGCTCAACCTGGAGCTGGGCTGCCATGAGTCACCGGCAATGGTGTAGGCTGCAGCCCCTGCTGCAGTGGGCTGCCATGGGCTACTGTGAGTGGCTGGCAGCCAGCATGAGCGGCCAGCAGCTGGCGTGAGCTGCCAAGAGCCGCTGTGAGCGGCCGTCCAGAGGCCGGCGACCGATCTGCCTCACCCGGGAAGAGCGCAATGATAATACCAACATGGGCCAGTGAAGCAACGTCCTCCACAACTAGACTGAAGAACAAAACGACAGCAAAGTGTTAGTTTTATTTATCAGTTCTACTCTTCCCATTTTCTAAATATTTTTTTCTGTTTGTATCTTTGTTACACACTTTTCCTACTGTCTCTTAATTTATTGTCCTACTTTTTTAAGTTGAAAGTTTAGGGTTTTTAAATTTTTCAATCATTGTAGGTTAAAAATAAAAGCATTTAAAGTTAGGAAATTTCCCCTTGAATATATAGTTTTAGTTGCATCTCATAGATTTTGATATATAACCTTTTCATTCTCGTTTTTATGGCTTTATTTTCTGTTTTTATTCTTTCTTTGAACCTAAATATTTTGAGTTTTATTTTTAAATTTATCCATGGTTAGATGTCTTTCTGTCATTAATTGCCAATTTGATTGCATTGTGATCCCAAGTAATTGCTTAAAGGGAAGATGAGTGGGAAATTAAATAAGGAATAAACTAGGGTGGGAGGACGTAAGCATGAGACATAGCATTAAAGAGTAAAAAAAATAATAAAGACACGGCACTAATAAGAAGAGGAAGTAAAAGGGCCCAACTGGCTGGATAGAGCAGAGGACTGCCTCTCAGTTATTGGCGTGGCCGTAGGTTTGGGTTGTTGAAGAGGGTACGTGATGTGAGATAGCGTTAGGAGATCAGAAATACATGCGGAGGGAGAGGATCAGAAGAAATGTCCAGGAAAAACAGTCCTCAGAGAAAATCCAACTGTTCTTTGGTTGTGATGGGGCCTGGAAGCCCAGCAAGAAATGCCTTACTTGATCTGCTGTTGATCTGCTCTGATAGTGTAAGTGTTAAGACTTAAAACGGAATAATCTTTTTCCTGCATCGTTCCTTGGCTGTACTAATTAGTAGAGTATGACCTTGGGTAAGTTACTTAAACTCTCATGCCTCAGTTTTTCTGATCTACAAGTGGGGATTGTAATAGTACTTGCCTCATTAGTTTGGTCTGAGGATTAAAGGAGCTAATGTTTAGAACCGTGCCTGGCACGTAGGAAGCGCTCAGTAAAAATAAACTTTTATTATTGTTATTTCCGAATGCAGGCACCCTCACCACTGTATAGTCATGGAGGCAATGCCGGTCCTGCAGAGAGAATGACGCTACCAAGGAGAACACAGATACAGAACACAGATGCTCCAGTTAAACAGAGCCACAGCATCACCGAGTCCTTTTCATTAAAAAATTAAACAGCCATCCAGGAAGACGCAGAGCAAATTGGAGAGAGGCCAAGACTTCAGTAGAAATCAATTGATAGGGATCTGTGCTAAAAGACTTTTCTTTGAGCAAGTTAAACACTGTCTGTGATAAGCACTAAGAGCCCTGCAACAGTGGGACTCACAGCAGGACAAGAAAAACAGATCACCCAGCAGAGGGTCTAAAAAGAACATAGATTATTTTCTCAGCCACACTGTATAGGCTTATTATCAAGTCTCTAGAGAGAAAGGACAGGAAACCCATAGTAGACTCACTCTAAAATCTTTCCTATAAAGATCTCATTACAGTATGAATTCAGTCAGTCTTCTAAAAAAAAAAATCTTTTTGTCTTTATAAAGTCTTAAGTGAACTAGGCTTTGACGTTGGAGACACATGATGAACAAGACAGATAACAGAGCAGCCCCCATGGAGTTCACGGTCTACTAGAAGAGACTGACATTAAACAAGTAATCACACACATGTCATTGTAAGCTTTGATGGTGCTCAGAATATAAAGTAGTCAGTGAAGATAATATCAGGGACTTTTAGATCTGGGGGTCAGAGACAACTTTTAGAGAGAGTGATTGTTAATGCCATGCCCTGAAAAATAAGGGAGCATTAGCTAGGGAAAGAACTGCAGTAGATCGTGCCAGGGAATTCCACTGGAAGGCTCTGGAATGGGAAATGTGGGGTTATGGTCCAGGAACCAGGAGAAGGCCTGTGCTGTGAGCATCAGCAGTAGGATGAAGAGCCTGTGCGGGGGAGGGGCGGGGCGCGAGGCCAGACCCCCAAACTGTGTGGCCACATTAGTATCTTGTTTTCTCCCAAATATAGGTCAAGGCACTGAAGGGATTTAGGCACACACAACTGACATATTCAGATTTGTGTTTTTAATCCATCATTCCAACTGCAGTGTGGAAAATGAGTTTGAGGGATTAGAGTAGAAAAGAGAAGTCCATGTGCGAAGCTTGCAACCTGGCCATTAGAGTCAAGGTTATGGTGAGCACAACCAAATATGAAGACCCCTTTGCTGTAACAGGTCCTAAAGACCTCCTATCTTTCTGGGTACTCCATGCTACAGAGTGGCACCCAAACCACGGGAGAAATAACTGGGGTTCCTCAAGCAGTAAAACTTTTATTTGCATTAAATGTATTGTAGTTTAATCAAACAATGTCGGAAATAACTTCAGCCATATGGAAGTTTGTGAAAAGAATGGGTTTGACACTCTGAAATAAGTAGCTGGAATGTGAAACTGAAACTGTGAAATGATTAGTTATACTGATGTGCTGGGGTTTGAAGAGGCCCCCTGGAATTCAGGACAGTTGAGCAATAGACGGAGGAATTAAGCAGATGAAGATCAGATTATCATACTGAATTTATTAAAAGCAAAGTTGAAGCCTTTAGCTTAGGTCTGTTGACAAGCAATGTTGCAAATGTTTCACCCCTGAATTCAACCTGCCCCAATGGTAGTAGGCCCTGCAACTGGGGATGCAGTGCAGGGTTGGGCCTGTTTGGGGGACTTTTGCCATTTAGGGCGCCTTCATAAACATTACAAATTATATTTTATAGCTGTATTGGTACAAAAACAAATACAAATCGAGGCTGGTTTATCTGTTTTTAGTATTCTGACTTTAAAAGAAAAGAAAAAACATTTTCATGAACCCCTAAACTGGGCTATGTCAACCCAGCAGAGGACAGAATCCAGGAAGGCAGGCAGGTGGGTCCCAAGATAGAGGAGACATGAGCGTGAGTGCGCGCACGTGCGTGCGTGTGTGTGTGTGTGTGTGTGTGTGTGTGTGTGTGTGTATACATAGGGATGCCAAAAAAATGTATACATATTTTTTCTTTTAAGATTTTATTGGGGAATTGGGGGAGGGGAACAGTGTTGGGGAATTGGGGAAGGGGAACAGCCAAGTTGCTGTCCTCAGTGTTAGTTGTGGAGGGCACAGCAAGCTCAGCTCCAAGTCCAGTTGCGCCGCTCAGCTCAAGGTGCTGTGTTCAATTAGTTGTGGGTGGGCGTAGCCACCATCCCATGCAGGAGTCGAACTGGCAGCCTTCTTGTTAAGAGCGCACACTCTATCCCCTGAGCCATCCAGGTGGCTGCTCAGTTCAAGGTGCTGAGTTCAGCCTTAGTTGTGGGCAGGCGTAGCCCACCATCGAACAGGCGGTCTTGTTGTTAGGAGCACGTGCTCTCACCAGCTGAGCCATCCTTCCACATGTTGGCAGCTCAGTGGCAGCTCGGCTTGAGCGCAGCATCACTGGCCCATGTGGGAATTGAACCAGTGACCCTGTTGCTCAGAGCTCACGCTCTTAAGCTAACTCTTAACCAACTGAGCCACTTGGCAGGCCCATCACTCTGAATATTTTGTGCCAATCCCTTCTGGCCTGCAAATTTTCTGTTTAGAAATCAGCTGACAGTCCTATGAGGGCTCCCTTGTAGGTAACTAACTGTTTTTCTCTTGCTGCTTTTAAGATTCTTTCTTTGTTTTTAACCTTTGGCATTTTAATTATGATGTGTCTTGGTGTTAGCCTCTTTGGGTTCATCTTGTTTGGAACTCTCTGCACTTGCTGGGCTTGTATATTTATGTCCTTCACTGGGTTAGGGAAGTTTTCTGTCATTATTTCTTCAAACAGGTTTTCAATTCCTTGTTCTCTCTTTCTCCTTCTGGTACCCCTATAATGCAAATGTTGGTATGCTTGATGTTGTCCCAGACATCCCTTAAACTTTCCTTACTTTTTTGGATTCTTTTTTCTTTTTGCTCTTCTGATTGGGTGTTTTCTGCTACCTTATCTTCTACATCACTGGTTTGGTCTTCTGCTTCATCTAATCTACTATTGATTCCCTATAATGTATTCTTCATTTCCATTATTGTATTCTTTATGTTTGACTGGTT